CTTATGGGAAACATAGGCTAAGAAGAGTCGAATTGCTTCGAGTCTAGCCACTGGTGCAAAGGTTTCATTATAGTCGATGCTTTCTTTTTTTATGTATCCTGAGCAACAAGTCGAGCCTTGTTGCTCGTTACAACACCTTGTTCATCCAACTTGTTTCGATAGACCCATTTTGTGCTTATAACAGTTTTGTTGAATGGATGTGCGACAAGATACCACACTTTATTTCTATCAAACTTAATGAGTTCTTCTTGCATAACATTGACCCAACTTGGGTCAGTGACAGCTTCATTGCTTTTTTGGGTTCAACTAAAGAAAAAAAGTTAACAAATAGACAGATATGTGATCCCATATTTCAAGTCCAATTAACAACTCAATCAATATGTGTCGACAAGCTTCCATTGATGAACTTTGGGGAGAACAGTGTTCTTGATTACAATCTATCAATATGCGTATGAATTGCATCGGTCAAAATGTCCTAACCTACAACTACCAACTACCAGTTGCTATTTATTGCAACCCCAAAATAGAAAGACATCAAACCAAGCTTACAAAAGGAAACACTAACTAAACAATTACAAAGCATATTAAAACAGTTTAAGCATCGGGACTTGAATACAACATTTTTGTTCCAACAATCTCCCCCTTTAGATTCAAGTCCAAAACAACAGCAATCTTCAGAGAACTTTAATTCTTTAAGATATGGTCTTCAAAGCTTTTAGCAACCTTCAGATCTTTAAACAATCTCTCCCAAATGACTTTCCTTTTTTATCAACAAAATGTCAGATAATCTCTTCCTTTGATGAACATCAGAAAACTTTATATCCCCCTTAAACTTTACAAAAACTTTCTTTTCAAAAATTGAATTATCTTCATATTCACTCTCCCTTGAGCTTTGCAGCATAATAATCTTCAACAATTATCAACAATTATTGATCAACTCCTTGAAAACCTTAACACCTTTCCCGATCTTCAGAAATTGACGCAGAAATCTTCATTCATTTTCAATATAAACTCCCTTATGATGAATATGAGGAGCATTTACATCATTGCTCTGAAATGACTGATACGTGTAAGAATGCCATCAATTCATAAAAAGTTAAGCAAATCTTTTTAGATTCGCTTATAAAATCTTTTTTGATTATGAAGGTGAGGGAAAGAACTAGATTCAACTTATGAACCTGTTTTCAATCTTGATAAAAAGATTGGCCTGTGAATATAACTGATATATTTAGTACAACGAATGCACTTCATATATCAGACTTTTTAATGTTTATCTCACCAGGACTTCCATTCAATCATTGATAGCATTAAAAAGCATATCTATGAATGTTATGATAGAATAACAAATATTCTATAAATTTGTGTAGTGGAGAAATGATAAAGCAACTAATGCTTCAGATTAGGCTCAAAATGATAAACAGTGTGGACTACACAAATTTATCAGACTCAATTGTAATCAATAAGACTTGAAGGGGGGGGGACAAATATCCTTCTTTTTTCAATATCAGTTATCTCCGAATGAGAAATCGATAGATTATGAGCTGCGTGCACCTAGTGTTATTGAAACACTTATCTTTTAAGAGATAAATGAGTAGCTGGTGGGGTTTATGACAAGAGTTGGCCTGGGCTTGCCTTTTTCAATATTAGTCTCCAAAGAGTTGAGAATTAATAGATTGTGTGGTTGCCCGAATTATAGTAGATAGAACATGATTCTTTTAATCATTTAATTCTGGATATAACTCTCATCAATTCTTTTAGCTCGCATCAACTACCCTCTCATTTATATTTTAAGCTCTACACACAAACCCATTTTTCATTTAAGCTCACTCAGATATGGATTTCCTCTTGGGTAGGGTTGTTGGTTCTGATAGTCCATAGAGACATTTCTGTTAAGCTCTCAGTCCTTTCTAAAAATTCACATTGTAAGCTCATTTGATCACAAATGATTGATCAAAAATAATATTGTAATTTTCTACATTTGATCAGATGAAAATTGATCAATAAAAAATGTAGCAATTAATCACATGATTAAATAAAGAGTGACGTTCAAAACAGATTATTCAGAAAAATTGTGAGAAATGAATGAAGATCTATAAGAACAAGTTTACAGATTTATACAATTAAAGAATGAAGAAATATGAATCAATCAAAGACTTATTATTCAAATAAGCTCAGAAAACAACATTGAATACAAACGAGTGTATTATCACTGAAAACGATTTATCATTTTAAAGACATGATAATAACGGTTTAAAGAACAACTGAAACATGTATTGGAAATATGTACGAAAAGAAAATATGCAAGTACGATCTCAATGAAATACCTGTTCAGAAATAGTACTCGTTCCTAAAAAAATAACAATAAAAATCATTTAAAATCACACTTATTAGAATTGTAAAACATTTAAGTTCAAAGAAGTGGTTTCAACATTTATGAAAACAATTTTATACACATAGAAGTTATCCTTCTATGTATACGAATAATAAGATTAGAAATTTATACCTGTTAGAATCAGATCAGAAATGAAATGATAATTGTGATGCTCCCCTGTGAATTCAACTCATACACAAACAAATTAGTATATTGGACACTCCCCCTTGACATAATCAGAGGATGATCTCTTGTCTTGTGTACAAAGTGGAGGATAAACATCATTATGATTACTCTAATATTGCAGTTTGAGTCCTGAACTTTCATGTTCAGAAGTCACAAAACTAAAGAGCAGGTTCTCAACTAAATTGTTTAGAAGCTAAATCACTGAAGTCCGAGTTCTAGATTGATTTATCTAGAAGTCTACAACATTGAAGACCGAGTTCTAGACTAAAGTATCTAGAATTCTTCACAAAAATCACTTTAAAACACTTGGGCTAGCATCAGGAAGATTAGTAGATATAACTTTATCACGCCATTCATACATTTGCTTAGGAACCTATTTCCACTTCAACAAAGTATGGTTCCTCTTTCTTTTGAAAAAAATTATATGAAATATTTTTCTTTGAAGCACGAGAACCATTTGCAGCTATATATTTGTGAAAAGGAACAAATAAGGATTTGGACTTCTTAGATCTGGTCGGTTTTTTGCATTTGGCATTGATGGCGAAAGAATTATAACCAAAATAGTTGTAAAGAAAATATTTTGGGGCTAAAGAAAGTATATCTAAATGAGTAAAATGTTTTGAATTTTTCAACTCAGCATTCAAATTACATTTCATTTTTTAAACTTAAGCACATTTGCAACTACCAGGTTTAACATTTGAAATCTTTGCAAAAGAATTGATTTTGAAAGAATTAACACTTTCTTTCTGCAAGTCGTCTATCTTTCTCCATAAAAAGCCAACAACTTTCAGATTTTTGACAGATAAGAAATTTGAATTCACAGCGGATTTGACAGTTGAACACCCAGACATTTTAGATTTTTCAGATTTTAGAGAAGTCTGAAAATAATTTTTAGAATTTAACCTTGAAGACTCTCCAACTTCAAAAACACTTTCATCAAAATTGATATTATCAATAACCGTGCATTTGATTTGAGGATCAAACTGAGGAATCACTGAATTTTTAAAATCTGAACTCAAAGGTTGTTTGATAACTTCCTCAAGCTTCATGATTTGACTCATGAGCTTGGTTCTTTCATCAAAACTGGAATTTAAATCCTTTTTGAGATCATAGATCTTTTGTAAATTAGACTCATGCAGTTTGTCTTTGCAAACTAAAGACATGGTGTTGGAACCCAGATACTCTTAATTCACATAAATATTGTTTACTTAAAGTAAGAATCAAGAACAACAATGTATTTCTATTGATTAAACAGGATATTCAAAGAAAAACGCAAAGCAGTAAATAAAACTTTGAAAAATGCCTCAACCCTCTGTAGAGATGCAACGACCTGTTGTAATGTTGTTGTATTGGTTGCCATCAATTCCATTTGAGTATTGATACGAGAAGCATTTATCGAAGACTCAGCTCGTAGTACTGCCAAGGATGCTCGTATCTCATCCAGAGCAGGTGTAGAAGGTGACGGCTCTACACGGGCCATGATGAGTTTTAGCTCTTCCAAGGAGCAACGCATAGAGGTGAAAAGGGAATGGAACTCTTCCCTAGTGACATATACAGATGGTGTAACCTCTGGCTCAACACATGGGCCAGATTGAGTCCCTGTTCCAAGGATGCCTTCATTCACGACTTGATTGACGTTAGTCAGGGAAGGACTTCCAGAGGATCCTCGTGGTTCTCCTTGAGGAGAATTCACTACCTCTGTTCTGTCAGGGAGAGTACCCAAGGCTGGTTCAAAACCAGCCAGAGGGCTCTCCATGAGTGGAATAAAAGACTGGTCGAGAGTCTCAAAGTCTGGTGCACCTATTCCTTGCTCTGAACAAGGTTGGGGGTCTACTCGTGCAAAGGAAACAAATTCCTCTGCATAGGAAAGTGGCGTGATATGGGGACACATATCACTTATGTTTTCAAAGGTTGCACCCTTTTGAGAGGGTATTCCCTGTGGCGAGGCTTCCCTTTGGCTAATATAACCAGAGGCAGATGCGACCTCTGGTTGGATAGGTTGGTTAGGGTTCGAGGTGTGCGCCTCTGTTTCAATGATCTCCGTGTCTCAACCACCGGAGTCAGATAATGTGGTTGCACTGGGAGTTGGGTAGGTAAATCTAATGTGCTTATTTAGCCTAGGCTGCTCTGTCCCGCCCTGAGGCAGAGCAACTGCTGCACCTCCTCCCTCTTCTTCATCTTCTTCTTCCTCGCTCTCTTCTTCTCCCTTACTTTCTTTTTCTTTCTCACTCTTTGCTTCTTCACACTCTTCCTCTTCATTTTCTTCCTCCTCTTCTTCACTTTCCTCGCTTGTGTAAGACCTTGCAGCATCGTCACAGTGCTCTTGGTCATCCTCTTGGTTTGGACTAGAGGGGTGAGCCAAGGTTTGACGAGCCTCTTCTTATGCTTTGAGTCTGCCTCTTCCCTCAGGCGAGCTATTTCTACTTGATGAGCCTTTTTCTGCTTATTCCTTCTCTACTTTAACACGAGCAATCTCAGCTAATCTTTCTTGCTCTGCTCGTTCTGCCGCCTCCTTTTTCTTCTTCTCCGTCTCAGCTTTCTTTTTCATTGCTTCCTCTAGTTTTCTTTCTTTTTCTTTCTCTTGTTGTACTCTCACCCTTTCTTTCTCAGCTCTCATTCTCTCTTCTTCTGCTCTTATCGTTTCTCCCTTTGCCTGAGGCATTGATGTGTCCTCAGTTCTCTCTTCTTGCTCGGCTGTTCCTATGCGTAACGGGGTTCGAGACACTGGTCCTAGTGTCTCGCGTATACGTATGTATACTCTTCTAATCTCCTTGGACTTCATATAGCTCATGAGCCTCTTCAAAATAGGCCTCTCTGCTTCTTAACCTTCCTTGTTCACTATTGGTCTGTATTGAGTGAGCACGTTTACCTTGGGAGGAGGTAGACGACCCATGTCAATGTTGTTGTCGTCGAGCGCTGGTCTTAGGAGAAGACCCAAGAATCGGGGAAATAATAGAGGCGACAACTGTCTTCCTTTGGCCACTTCTTGACACTTCTTGGCCATGGCTGCCTTGAACTCTGTGTAGAGTATCAAGGAGTAGTCAAGATATAGGTCGAAGAAAATCTCGTGGACGATTTGAAGTACGCTCATGGAGCACATGTCGAGGCTCCCTATCTTCCCTGTCAGCAAGCGGTTGACCAATGTGAAAAGTGTATTCCACATCTATAGTAGGTATTGACGACGATACTGGGACGGGTATTGAATGGCCTTGTTGTACCCCAAGAACTTCAAGAAAGCTACAATTTCATCCCCGGATGGGAAAGGAGCATATTCAGAAAGTCCTAGGTCAGTTTTCGTTGGGATTTCAAGAACCCGCAAAAACATGGATCTTGAAATACGAACTATGACAAACTCCTATGTGGCAGAGACAAAGATTTCTCCTACGATTCCTCTTTGAGATTCAGTAATGGAGCAGGACTGCCAGTATTCTTGGATGAATCGTTCGGGAACCAGGTCATCCATGTTGGTCAAGGCTGGGTTCAAGAAGTGGTTTTGGAGGATATTGATGATGGGATGGTATTTGGTATCGAAATTTTTGAGTTGGAGGCTTAGGGCATGGTTATTTAGTTTTATCGGAAGAGGAACTAGGTTTTGACTGGTATCTTCCATGGTTTTGTGGGTTGTGGTATGAGTTTGGGAGTTTTCTGATTCTGAAGAGGACATTGTTGCAGGTTTTGGGTTTGGAAGCAGATGATAGGCTTTTAGGGTTTCAAGAAACAGTTCTTGAATCGAGAAATGGGATGAAGGAAAGGATTTGTGCTACTTACTTATCAAACAGGATGATCGGATGAAGATTGAATCGATCTTTGAGCACTGGTTTGAGAGCTTCAAGTTGTGGCAATGGCGGTTGAAGGTTGAAGACGACGGGAGTTCTTAAGAATTTTTTGTAAGCATAAAAGATTAATTTGGGGGTAAATATTTGTTTAAATAGGATAAAATTAACACTTGAGTGTTTTAGCGCCCCAAACGTCAGGTAAAACTGAACCGGTTCTCTCAAAGCCTGTAAGGGCATGCCACGTTGATTGTCAGCTGCAAGTGGCGCCTCCCACGTTTGAAAATATAAGCTCACAGGCGGTGACGCTTATTATGGGTGACAACTTTTATTAAACAATTAAAATAAACCTTACGCCTTCTTAATAAAATAATATATTTTAATTTTCAAAAACAACAAGAAAAATTTCCAAGTGTAAATGCTCTGGTTCGAGAAAAGTAGAGGTTTTGATAAGAACCAGAGTACTATATGCGGAAGAAGGCATACCTTGGGATCTCAGACAGAGATTCGTGATTCGACTATACATGTCCTCTAGAGAAAACTTTGCTATGTTCAGAGGCAGAGGCTCTATATAGTACATACAGAGGCTATGTTCTATAATCATGAGAATTTTAACGCAGAGGCTTTGTATCGTACATACAGAGGCTCTGTTTGATATGATTTCGTGCTCCCCCTTGAGTTGAGCTTTTCTTATCTGCTCCCCTTGAACTATGCTTGGATCATTTGTGATAAGTAGAGCATATGCATAATAATCAAGGTACAGAGGCTATGTATGTACTGTATAGAGTCTCTGTATTTCAAAACAACTAGGACAATGAGTAAGAGTCTCTGCATGAACTATGCAGAGGCTCTGTCTCATGGATCAATACAAATAAAAGCAGAGATATGCATAAAGGGATGCAGTGGCTCTATATAATGCATACAGAGGCTCTGGTTTAGTTTGAAAGATTTAGCATACCCAACTTGTTAACAAGAAAATTAAATCTCTTTTCATCAAGAGCTTTTGTAAAGATGTCAGCAAGCTGTAAATCTGTACTTACAAAGAACATTTCAATCGTACCTTTCTCTACATGGTCCTTGATGAAATGGTATCGAACATCGATGTGCTTTGTTTTTTAGTGTTGCACAGGGTTGGCTATGATTGCAATAGCACTTTCTGAGTCACACAGAATTGGAATCTTTTCAAACTCTACGCCATAGTCTTTCAGTTGAGGCTTCATCCATATCACTTGGGAACAGCAGCTGGCTGCAGCTACATACTCTACTTCAGCGGTGGAAGTAGAGACGCAGTTCTGCTTCGAGGTCCAGCTTATGAGCTTGTCCCCAAGTAATTGGCAGCTCCCTGATGTACTCTTTCGATCGAGTTTACAACCTGCATGATCAGAATCTGTGTACGCAATAAGATCGAAACCAGAATGCTTTGGATACCAAAGACCCAAAAATTGAGTCCCTTTAAGGTATCTAAAGATTCTTTTTACAGCCGAAAGGTGAGATTCCTTTGGATTTGCTTGAAAATGGGCACAGAGACATGTGGCAAACATTATGTCTGGTCTACTAGCTGTGAGTTATAGTAATGATCCAATCATTCCACGGTACGTCTTAACATCCACCGGTTTTCCAGATGGATCTGTGTCAAGCTTAATACCCGTAGCGATTGGTGTTCTCATGGTGGAAAAGTTATGGAGTTGGTACTTCTTTAATATGTCGGAGACATACTTAGCCTGGCTAATGATGATACCATCCTCCCTCTGTTTTACTTGCAAGCCAAGGAAGAAGGTCAATTCTCCCATCGTGCTTATTTCAAACTCGCTCTTCATTAACGCAGAGGACTTATCACAATGCCTCTGGTTCGTTGAACCAAAGATGATGTCGTCCACATATATTTGTACTAAGAGCATCTCACCTTTATACCTCTTAATAAACAAAGTTGTATCGATTTTACCTTTTTCAAAACCATTAGATAAGAGGAAAGATGAGAGACGTTCATACGAGGCTCGAGGTGCTTGCTTAAGTCCATACAGAGCTTTGTCTAAGAATAGACATACTCTGGATGTGTAGAGCTTTCAAACCCTGGAGGTTGTTAAACATAGACTTCCTCCTTCAGCTTACCATTCAAGAAGGCTGACTTTACGTCCATTTGATAGACTCGAAATCCCTTATGTGCAGAGAAGGCTAAAAATAAGCGTATAGCTTCTAGCCTTGCTACTGGCGCAAAGGTCTTGTCATAGTTTATGCCTTCTTCCTGGTAATAGCCTTTTGCTACGAGCCTAAATTTATTTCTTACTACGATCCCATCCTCATCCTTCTTGTTCCTGAAAACCCATTTACAGCCAATTGCAATTTTATCTTTTGGTAAAGGAACAAGAGTCCATACCTTATTTCTCTCGAATTGTTGGAGCTCTTCTTGCATGGCATCAACCCAACTTGGATCTTATAGGGCTTCATGTACTTTCTTAGGCTCTACCATGCTAAGGAAGTTTACGAATAAACATTCATTAGCTATGGCAGCCCGTGTCTTTACCCCACTTGAAGGTTCACCAATGATCTGGTGAAGAGGATGATCCTTTGTAAATTTTGTTCTTGGGATAGATAGAGAAGTGAGGGATGTTTGATCACGTTCCATTGGCATATTTGGCATTAAGCTCGTTGATGGTGAAGAAGGCTCTGCTTGCTTCCCCTCGAATGACGGTACAGAGGAACCAGGTGCAGAGCTAGAGGTGTTATGCTCTGGTTCTACGTGAATGGGCTCTGATGCAAAGCTTATTTGCTCTGGTTGTGGATTGATATAATCTTTAGAGGAAGCAGAGGTGTGTGAAGGACCAGAGTCAGATGCGCTTGTCGTTTGTGATCCTTCACTTAGACTGGCAAATGCATCTCCTGGTGCACGTACAGAGATTTCTTCGTCACCATAGAAGTCTTCAAATAGGAGCCTGAGTTCCAATTCCCTTGACTTCATTTGAGAATTGGAAGTCTGTTGATTAAGATCGAGTCCGGAGCTGAGATACGCTGAAGTGAACTGTTCTTTATCGTTGAACGAGACGTTGATGTTTTCCATGACCATCTTGGTTCTTTGATTGAAAACTCTGTATGCATTCGCTTTTGTTGAATAACCAAGGAACTTTCCTTCATCGGCCTTCTTATTGAACTTGCCAAGTTGATCTCGATCATTTAGGAGGAATCATATGCAACCAAAGACATGTAAAAATTTTACGTTAGGCTTTCTTTGGTTTATTAGTTCGTAGGGCGTCTTCATGTGCCTCTTAACCACCATTGCTCTATTTTGAATAAAGCAGGCAGTAGAGATTGCTTATTCCCAAAAATGGGTTAGAAGACCAGAGCTGGCTAGCATGGTGCGTGAAGCTTCGACCAAAGTTCTGTTCTTTCTTTCTACGACACCATTTTGTTGTGGTGTTCTTGCTGCAGAGAAGTTCTGATTTATTCCTTCTGTGTCCAAGTATGCATAGATCTTGGCATTCTTGAACTCTGTTCCATTATCACTTCTCAGCTTTTGAATTTTGTTTTGTAGAAGTACTTGAATCTTGGTCATTAATTTGATTAGTAGCTCCGGTACATCTGATTTCTGCCTTACAAACTCAATCCAAGTATATTGTGAGTATTCATCAATTAAGACTAAGATATACTTCTTACCAGACAAGCTTTTGCACAGAGATTGTTCCACAAAGATCCACATGAAGCATGTGTAGAGGTCTGATGCAGGACACATCTGTCTTAGTTTTATGGGATGCTCTTTTGAGCTTTCCCATTTCACACGCAGAGCAGAGATGGTCGTTTTCGAACTTTATGGCAGGAAGTCCGTCAACCAAATTATGCTTCAGAAGCTTTTCTAAATTTTGAAAATTGAGATGCGACGGCTTGTAGTGCCAGAGCCAAGCTTCTTCACTCTTGCGAGACACGAGCCAGAGAGTCTCTGAGTTGTCTCTTGGTGAGAAGTTCATCAGATAAAGATTGCCTTTTCTCTTAGCTCTTAACAACTCTTGACCTGATTCTG